CATCTAAAACTGATTACATCTTTGCGCTCTTAATGATTTCTTTTCCGATTCATTTACTTTTTTTCAAATTTAATTTTTTTCTCCTCAAACACATGAAATAATTTACAAATAAATTTTAAAATTAAAAAATATATATATTTACATATATGTTAATATATATAATATACATAATTCTAAAAAACAAATATATTCTCGTTATATTCTGAAATTTATTAGGCTATCTGTAGTGCCAAAGACAACAAAGTTTGGGTACATAATTAGTTACCAATAAACAAACAAAAAAACATGAAATTTCAATTTAGAAACAGGTACAATTTTAATTTTTCGCTACATTTATTTGAGTATGTCTTTCTGATATTTCTGCCAAAAAAAATCCCAGGTACCTTTAACCTCAACCCTCTATATGGGTGAAGTGGATTAGGATCTATTCTATTAAAATCTAAGTAAAATAAATAAAAAGAAAATATTAGGCTACTGTTATCTATGTTTTATATGGAATGGCTTCTTTGAAAAAATAATTAAAATCAGTTATTTTAATTTTGTTTTTTTCCCTTATGAATAGTAGGGATGTACCGGAATTCCGGCCGGAATTTGTGTCTTTTAGATCGATTCGCTTCTGGCTGGAATTAAATTTTTTTTTTAGTATTTTATGTATTTGCAGTACCCTCTATTTCAGCGAATAAAATTACATTTGTATTTTTTACCTAGGTTTATCTATAGTTCTTCATTGCTCTGTAGGATGATGATTTTTTGATTTATTTACACAGCCTGTGTCACATGTTATAAAAAAAAAAGTAAAATTTTTTTTTTAATTCCATCCAGAAGCTAATTGATCTAAAAGATAAAAATTCCGGCCGAAATTCTGGTACATCTCTACAATTTATCCAAAGAAATTTGCTAAAAGAGGATGAAAAAATTATTTGACTTAACAAAGTTCAAGTTATCCGAGAACTTAATCCGAGACTTAATCGGAGAATTTTTATAGTAATCAATTAGAGGGTTTCAAGGGACCAAATGAAACAATTTGAGATAACAAAAGTTCAAGTTAACCGGTATTCAACTTACCGGGAATTAACTGTATGCTTATAAGAAAAAGAAAAAAAACTTAAAAAAATAAAAAATTCTCTTTTATTTGAAAAATTTTTTATTTAATTTTTCACAAACATAAATATAATAAAAACACTATTTAATGCTATTTCTTTTTCCAAAAAAAGACATTATTTTATTTTTATGAGCAGTGTTTAGCGCGCTTGCCTCAGAAGCTAAAGATCCATGCTTTAACACCACCTTAGAGTGTATTTTTAAGATCCAACTACATCAACTTCACTGACAAAAAAGATGTTATATTTTCTTAGAAATCCATCAAAACTGTAAAGTTGTGCAAGTTGGCTTTCAATTAAAACATTTTTTTCCAGAGAAGAACTATTGAAAACAACTCTTATGTAACCATGTTTTGAAAATATTTTTCGAATTTGAGCTCCTTGGTCTCATATGCGTTTTTATATTTATTCTTGTTTTAGGTACCCCAAAAAGACCTTACGGTCTTGTCACAGAGCACCGCGAAGAGCATTTAAATAGGAAGTTTACGCCTCTTTCCTTACCGATGGCGCTAAATATGTCCAGCATGCACTCTAACCACTGCGCCACGGCCGTTTTATGTTTAAGATCATCTGTTGTCTCAGATTCAGATCTTTAATTTACAACTTCCTTACAAACTGACAGATAATTAAAAGAATGAAATGCGGGCAATATCAAAATCTTAGTTTATTATTCCACTTTGCTTTTAAAAACATCTTTACGCCATTCTTACACTATTCCAAGATATAAAATCTCATAAACAAAATACAAAAAGCACGTTCAGCAATATGTTCTTTTTTATGAAACAATTTTAAGTGGAACTGATGCCACAATTGTTATGATGGAATCTCATTTATGGTAATTTCTTACCATTATGAAATCTTGGTTCTACTTGCTCCTTTGAACCAAGATCTTTCAAGTGCAGAGAGAGAATGATTTTGCAAAAATGCTCTTCTCAAAACAAATTCCTGAGCAGTTCAGACACTCAGTAAAGATTTTTTTGTTAAATTCTCTTAATTTTAAACTAAAAAAGCCACCCAGTTTTTACAGAGTGGGAGAAAACTCTTGGTTTATGACTAGTTTGTTGTCTCACGAAGTTAAATAATAAACATTTGTTAAACATTCCGGCACCACTATTGAGTATGTTGACCAGTTTAAGATTTTTTCCAAATCTGTTGCCAATATTACAGTGATTCAAGATGTTACTGAATGATATACTAGGTTGGTTGAAAAGTTCGCGGAGCGGAAATGAAAAAACAATTTTATGATTCAAAAAATGACTTTATTCTTCAGTATATTCTCCCTTAAGAGCAATACACTTTTTCCAACGATTCTCCAATTCATGTATCCCATCTCTGAAGTGCGATTCCGGAAGGCCTTCAAAATACCCATTTACGGCTGCAATGACTTCTTCATGTGATGAGAAACGCTTTCCACGTAGAAATTTTTTGAGATGTGGAAAGAGGTGGAAGTCGGACGGAGCCAGATCTGGTGAATAGGGTGGATGTTCCAAGCGTTCGTACTTTAATTCGACCAATTTCGCCTTTGCAACATCGCTGATATGAGCAGGTGCGTTGTCCTGGTGATAAATGATTTTTTTATGCAGCAAACCAGGTCTTTTCTCACGAATTTTTTTATCCAACTGGTCCAAAAGATTTTTATAATATTCACCTGTTATCGTTTTACCGGTTTGAAGGTAATCTATTAATAAAATTCCTTTCGCATCCCAAAAAACTGATGCCATAACCTTCTTTGACGATTTTGACGCCTTCACTTGCTTCGGAGCTGAACAACCGGGTTCTGTCCACTCTGCAGTTTGTTGTCGCAGCTTCGGATCATAGTGGTAAACCCAAGTCTCATCCATGGTTACGAATCGACGCACAAAATCTGTTTTATTCTTTTGAAAATGGGCCAAATGTTCTTGAGAAAGTTTTAATCGAGTGCGTTTCTGATCCAGAGTTAGCGAATGCGGCACCCATCTTGCCAACAGCTTTCTCAGACGTAATTCATCGTGCAAGATGTGTAATACCCGTTCATCTGAGATGCCCACAGCCTCAGCAATTTCACGTTTGGTCAATCGTCTATCATCCATAACCATGTCATGCACAGCATTAATCGTTTCTTCAGTAGTAGCACTTTTTGGACGTCCAGAGCGAGGGTCATCTTCAAGGCTTGAACGCCCACGTTGAAACTCCGCAGCCCATTTGCATACTGTTGTTTTTGAAGGAGCATCATCACCCAACACATTTACCATTTCATTATGAATTTCCATGGGCTTTAAACCTTTTTTCACAAAGAATTTTATTACAGCACGATGTTCAATATTTTCCATTTTAAAAAATACTATGACACGTCTAATTTCAATAGCTTGTAAACAAAGACTGAAATGACATATCGACTTGAAATTTTTTATGCGTTCATACGAAGAATGAATACGTTTAATACAGTTATAAATTTGTTTCTACTACTGCAACATAGGTGCCGCTCCGCGAACTTTTCAACCAACCTAGTATTAAAGTTGCGTTGGCCTTTTGAAACAATATTTAAAGCGAAAATGTTTGTCAGGAACTGCTGCTTTCTATTTATCAAAAGAGAAAAAACCTTCGTAAAACACTATAGTTTATTTAAAATTAGTATATGAGGCCATAGGAAAGTGAAGGATGTAATATATAAACAATACAGTTTATTTGATAATAAAATGCAAAATTATAAACATAAATTTTTAATATCAGTAAGATAATTATTTTCTTTTTTAACTAATAAGTTTCAAAGTAAACGTGATGTTATTACTAAGCTATTGACGTTGGTATCCGGGGCAGGTTACCCAAAGATCAAAGTATTTTAAAAAAAAATCTTTATAAAAGCTTATCTGACACTGTTATAAAAACTTTGCAAGCTTTAGTTTGTTCCGTTTTGGAAACAATTTATTAGGATGTCAAAAAAAGTTTTTCATACGTCACTGAGGAATGTCATGTCTTTTTTGTGAGAGAATATCTGTTTTTTTCAATCACCGATTTTTAAAGATCCTGTAGACTTATTTCTTAATTTATATAACATGTTCTTTTTCTGTGATCAAACCAATTTATACCATTTTAAAGAATAAAATAATTATAGAACTTATAATTAACTTGAAGGAAACACGTGTTTGCAAACCTGCGTTTCTTTGTATTCACTTTTAGTGGTGAATATAAGAAATGCATTTAACTGACCGATAATTAAGGCATCACAACCAAAAAACTAGAAACTTACAAGGAAAATTTTTAAAATAAAAAATATTTATAAGCTTCACAATGGTCTTCACAATGGTCTTCACAATGGTCTTCACAATGGTCTTCACAATGGTCTTCACAATGGTCTTCACAATGGTCTTCACAATGGTCTTCACAATGGTCTTCACAATGGTCTTCACAATGGTCTTCACAATGGTCTTCACAATGGTCTTCACAATGGTCTTCACAATGGTCTTCACAATGGTCTTCACAATGGTCTTCACAATGGTCTTCACAATGGCCTTCACAATGGTCTTCACAATGGTCTTCACAATGGTCTTCACAATGGTCTTCACAATGGTCTTCACAATGGTCTTTACAATGGTCTTCACAATGGTCTTCACAATGGTCTTCACAATGGTCTTCACAATGGTCTTCAAAATGGTCTCTAGGAGATTAAACAATAATCTTGGTTTCTTGACATAACTAATAAATGTTTTTTTCTTTTTAAAAATAAAAGTTGCTTTACTTTTAATTAACTGTTTTTAAAAATTATTATTAAAAGAAATTATAAAAAAAAAATAAAAAAAAAAAAAAAACTAACGACTTATAAAGATAAAATTAAACTGGTGCAACTAAGTACCTTAATTGCATCAGTTTTCCATCATTACAGATAAATAATCAAAAATTTATTCGTGATTTTAACTGTTTTAGAAACGAAATCTTCAAACTTCCCGATTGTTTATATATGGGTTGGTGCGGTGGGTGCCGTTTTGATTTTAATGCTGTTGCTAATCGTATGCGTCCGAAGAAAAAAGAAAAAGAAAATGAAGTAAGTGTTATTAGGAGTGTATGATGGATATAGCTAGCTAGACAAAGTGTAGCCAGAGAGTGATAAGTAGTACAATAGACAGAGTATAGCCAGAGGGTAATAATTAGTACAATATATAGAGTGTAGCCAGGGGATGATAAGGTGAGTGTAGCCAGGAGGTGATAAGTAGGTGATCAGTAGGTTTTACTTATATGAAAATTAAAGTTATTTTTTTGCAAAGAAATAACACAATCAAAAATTTATAGAAAATTTTTTTGATTCACGATTATGAGAAGCCACCGTTTAAAATTTAAAATTCTATTTAAAGTTCAAAAAACTTTGACTTAAAAATCAGGATCTAAAAAGGAGAATTCCTAATAAACTTTCTAATTAACAGTCAGATGATAATACAATATTAATAAATAAGTTCAACTGCACAATTTAACATCGAGTACAAATCTGTCCGTTTTCTTTATGCTTGCACTCTAATACGGCTTTGTTCTTTGGAGAATAATGACGCTCTGTAGAGAGCGGAATCTGTTTTCTGCAGACTTAAGTATCTGGCCTCTATATGGCAGTTAACCGGACGAGGATAATTACACCAAGTTGAATTTTCTAATCATACTCTTTCAAAAGGTAACTGTGAAGAGATCATCAAATTTACACTGGGTATTTTAAATTTTGTAAAAAAAAGACAACCCAAACTGTTTAGAACGAATATTCATTTAACTTATATTTATTAACGAATATTCATTTAACGTTTTACATTTTCTTCAAAACAACAGATGTTGTTCATTTGGGTTTTATTAAAAAGGAGACACCATTACTAACGAATATTATATAAAAACCTCTTATATGCAAAATAAATAAAAAAAGATCTAAAACAGGCACTCACAATTTCAAATTTCTCCATGATAACACTCAACCCAAAAGTAAACTCAAACCGTCCCAAGTTGTCTATACCAAACTGGAATTACAATAATTCGCCACCTACCATACTCACCAGACTTAGCTCCATCCAATTATTGGCTTTTGACTTGATAAAAAAAAATGTTGATGACGATACTGACGTCGAAAGCCAAAAAACCCGCATAACGAAGCTACTTAAAAGTATACCCAAACAAGAGTATAAATGGCTTGAAAGGATGCAACTTTGTATAGATAATGATAGACATTATTTTGTACATTTAATAAAATAAAGTTAAAAAAAACTTTTTTATTTTTGTTTTTATAGGGGAGTTCTACAAACTTTCCTAACGACCTAAGTATATTCTAAGAAAACATCGTTTAATTTTAAAGCACTTCTAAGATTTATATCCGCAAATGGAAAAATTAAAACTCTTGTTAAACTGTTAATCAAAAAATAAAAAAAAATTAAAAAAAAATTGCTGAATAGGAAAAATTTATATAGGGGAGAGTTATTTATTAACCAAAGATGGCTTAATAATGAAAACATTTAAGATTTGATTAAAACAAACAGATAGCCCTACTATACTTTTAAACATAATTTGACTTGGTTACACTGTTATTGGAAATAAATTTGTTTTTGCAAAGATACCATTTTGTTCTAATAAAGACAGCTGGTTCCCTAAATTGGAACACTTTGATTCCTTAATAAGAACAAGTTGTTTTGTTTTTTTTAAAAAAAAAGTAAAAACAACAAAAATTGATTCGAAGTGATTTTTATCTTTACAGTGAAAATTTGAACAAATCATTCAAAACTTATTATAGGATTGATATTACAATCAAAGAAACTTTGAACTATTTTGTTATATCGCTGCAATATCATGCTTGCAGCAAGATAAGATTATATTGTCATTTGCATTTTAAATCGCATTAAACGCAAAAGCCGCATAACCTATATCAGTATAGTTTACCCAGCGCAATCAATATTGTGTGAACAAAAATTAGATCACCGAAAATAAAGTGACGCAAAAAAACTTTAAATCAATGGTGCACATTTTTTGTGGGATAACTTTCAAAATCTGTCAAAACTTAGAAAGTAAGACGTTTTACTAGAAAAATGCAAAATATAGCCTTTATTCATTTTTTTTTTTTTAAATAAATGCAAGTGTTTCAATTAAGGCGCTGTTCCAATTAAGAGAACTCTCCCCTAGGTTAATTTAGTCGTATTTATGGCCCACATACACGAGAGAAATATATTAAAAATAAAAATATATTAAAGAGAGAAATATGTTGAAGTTAAAAATAAATTAAAGGATAATATTTCAGTTAGGAAACTAAATTTATAATACAATTAAATTTAATTTGGTTATTTTTAAGTTTTGACGGCCTTGTATTTTGTGAAAAATCGTAATTTTATTAAGTCTTAATTGAACGTCCCAAAATAAATTTGTTTTTGAGAAGCGATTTCAGAGAGTTATATAAAAGACATGTGATTGTCCACGGTTGGTTAATTGAAAAATCAAACGCTAAAGGATTTTCTTGTTAAAAGTTCAGTATTATCAAAAAATATGTATGTTTATCGGGTAATGCTGAGTTGTGGTATTTAAAATTTTCTAATTGCTTGCAGGGGACATTTGAGCTTGAAAAGGATCTCACTTCTGCTACAGCATGGGCTCACAGTGGCTGGTGAACTTTAATTCAGATAAAACTCAACATTTTTTCAGCCAATCTTTATCGCAATAATTTACACCTACTATATTTATGAACGGAAATGTACTCGATAAGTCATCTACCCTTCATCTTCTAGAATTAACTCTTACTTCTGATCTTTCTTGGAAACCTTATATCAAATCCGTTGCAAAATTAGCATCTGCTAAAGTTGCATCTCTTTATCGAGCTTGACACTTTCTTACTCTGGATTCTATTCTCCATCTCTATAAATCTCAAATACGGCCTTGTATGGAATACTGTTGCCATATCTGGGGCGGATCTTTTAATGATGCCTTTTCTCTTTTAGACAAGGTGCAAAAACGCATTGTAAACAGAGTTGGACCTGCGCTTGCAGCCAAACTTCAACCTTTGTCACATCGTCGTAATGTTGCTTCTTTTTCTCTTTTCTACAAATACTATAATGGGCACTGCTCTAAAGAGCTAGCGTCTCTTGACCCATCTACTAAAATTCATTCTCGTTTTACTCGTCATTCAATTAAGTCTCATCCTTTTTCTGTTACTGTTCCTAAGTGCTCCAAAAACTCTTATTCATCTAGTTTTTTTCCTCAAACTTCAGTTCTTTGGAATTTGCTTCCTTCATCTTGCTTTCCTGATTCATATAATTTGCATCTTTTAAGTCGTCTGTCAATCGTTATCTTGCTCTACAATCTTCATCTTTTCTCTTCCAGTAACTTCCAACACTAATTAGTGGTTGCTTGCAGCCTTTTTGGAAGCGAAGATGTTAAAAAAAACAAAAAAAACAAAAAAACATTATTGTTTTTATTTAATAAACATAATTTAGCATTAAAAACATTAAATACTTATCAAACACTTCATAATTTTAATGAAATTTATTCTATTCCATAATCTAGTAAAGCTAATAATATTCCTTTTTTTAAATATACCGAATTTTTTATTCAATAAAATGGTAATAAAATGAAAATGAATTGAAAACTTTTTAGGACTAATTTTAGATAAGAAACTGGGTGGCAGGAAGTGTCGAAAAATAAACTTCTGAATAGTGTCGAATATATAAAAATTTTGTAACACTATTCCACCACACCAAAAAATTATCTTGAAAGTCTAATAATAAATATATTAAATGCAAGTTCTCAAAGTATTTTCTATATTATGTAAAACAAAATCTTTTTCTAAATAATGTATCATTTAAACTATATTTCTTTCTTACATACATCTATGTTTCTTACTGTATTGCCGGGAGAAGTACTAATTACGCTATAAACAAAAACACGCATAGAGGAAAATATTTCGGGCAAACAGAGATGCATATTACAAACCTCTCTTTGTAAGTAAAAGAGGTTTTCAATATTTGTGAGTCAAGTATTCACCAAGTGACAATTAATTATGTTTAAAACTAAACCGGAGGTTGTTTCTAATAATATTTCAATCTTCCTTTGAAATTTCTCATAAAAAAATTCTCATAATTTAATGAGTAGTTTCAGAAAAAAAAAAAAAAAGGAAAGTGTCGCAAATGAATTTAAAGAATCCTTTTAAAAATAGAATAAAAGAATAATTTCCTAAAGGAGTTTAATGAATAGTAACAAAATAAAGAAATAATAATAACTATAAATGTGTGTTTAGATAACATGTCTGATATCATACTGAAATAGCCTGCTGCCAGGGGCTTCAGTACATACACCAACTATCCTATAGCCTCCAAAGGAGTGTCACTACATCGACTGAGGGTTTGGGGTTTGGTAGCTCTTTTCTTTCATTATTCTTTTTTTTCCTTTTTTTTTCTTTCTGTAAAAGCCGTATGCTATTAAGATAAGTAATTGCTGAAGTTATCTATTTGCGACACTATTCCTGTTAAAAATTATTTTTGTTGTTCTCATAACTCATCTTAAAATAAGTTTTTACCGAATTCAATACCGTGGACCTTGTTTTTTGGTATTTTCTTCAAAAATTCTAATAAAAAAAAGATTTTGTCTCTAACTGCAATTTGCAGAACTTTAGGAATCAAAACGATATTTACTTATCATGGACTTCGATATCAAACTTTATATATCTTTTTTATAAATAATTTAAAAGGTTTAAATTAAATAATTAACATTAAAAATCATAATTACAAGTTTTTAACTTTTCTAAAACTTTAACTTTTTACTAAAACTTATCAGCTTATATCGAAAAATTAGTTTTTAATACTTATTTATATTTCATTATATGTAATAAAACGTAACTCAATTTTTTCTGGATTTATAGTTATGTCTAATTTGCTGTATTTTATTTCTTAAATTATTCCACAGAAATATTATTAGCTAAAGAATTTTACTAAAGTTTCGCATGTATTTTTAACCTTATTTATTATTTATTAGGCATTTAAATTTTTAAATTGTTCAAAAAAAACCCACCAATGGGGCTTGCTTACGGCAACTTATCTTTTTCTCGCTGGGAGCAAATTTTGTATTATTATCATTTTTTTTATTGTAATTTTAACAAACAGAAAATAAATAAAAAAAACTTTTTTAATAATATGAAACCATGACATTTTATTTATACATGTACTGTTACCATTTTCAGGAAAAGAGAAGAACAAATGCGTGTTCAAGAACAAGAGCGAAAAATAAGAAGTAATAGCGCTTTTGCATCGGCTGATTTGTCCGTCGGTGCAAATTATATTCAAAATAGCAGACATAGTTCAGTGTTTGGAGAGACTTCCAGTCGAGCACTTGTTTTAAATGGAGTTAATGCTGACTCTGTATCAGCCTATTCATATAATTCAAGAAACTTTGTTGGACTTGACTCCGATCGATATCATCAAAGACTTAGTGTACCAATGTTAGACAGTTCATCATATTCTAACTTTGGGTTTGCAAGATCTTCAAGCGTTCCCCACATAACTGCCTATGATATAGCTTCCCATCAACCATCTATAAATGGATTTAAAAATTCACCATCTGTTGAACTTTCCACAGATCAAAAAAAATAATATATAATGGTTATTTATAAACATTTTTAATGTCAAACAAAAAAGTGTAACATGTAAGGACTTATAGTTATATGTTTGTACGTGGCTACGCGTATATATATATATATATATATATATATATATATATATATATATATATATATATATATATATATATATATATATATATATATATATATATATATACATATAAACACAGTACCGTGACTAGTGGGTCCAAATCCCACCCCATCCCCCAAAAAAACTGTCATTAGTACTCCAAAAGATAAAAAAATATTTCCACTAGATGTTACTTAATAAAATAAAAAAGCTATGTATTTATTATTCCCCTAGCCACGGTTCTATATATATATATATATACATATATATATATATATATATATATATATATATATATATATATATATATATATATATATATATATATATATATATATATATATATATATATATATATATATATATATATATATATATATATATATATATATATATATATATATATATATATATATAATGGAAACACGCACAAAGGCAAACGGTTTATAAAGTGTTACCCGCAGAATGAAAATTAACTTAATACTAATTTTCAATTCAGAGTTTTGTGTGTAATTACATCGGGCCAAGTAACATAAATAAATTTTACTACAGTTTTTTTATGAGTTTCTTTTATTAGTGTTTGAAATTGTTTTGGAGTAGAAATATTTCAGCATTAATATATTATACATATAATATATTACATATATAAAATTATATATATATATATATATATATATATATATATATATATATATATATATATATATATATATATATATATATATATATATATATATATATATATATATATATAAATGCATGTACGTATAGTTATATGCGCGCGTGTGTGTAAACATTTTTTATTTCATACATAACCTTATTAAATATTTGATGAAAAAACCGAGTTAAAATTTATTTTAACATCTTTTATGTGAAACATACAAAACTGTGAGTTGAAAAATATTATTGTATTAAGTATTAGCATTATTAAGTATTAGCATCAGAGCCGTGGTTAGGTTACCCCACACCCCCATTTGGGGTGAAACCCAGCAAATTTAGGGAGCCCATTTACAAATTTGAATTTTTTTTTTTTGCAATATCTAGCGGAAAATTTTTTAAAATTTTGGAGCCCTAAAGACAGGTTTTTGTGGGGGGCCAGCAACCCACTAGACACGGCACTGATTAGCAATATTAAATATTAGCAATATTTGTAAAATTAAAACATTTACTATTAGGCACTCTTTATGTTTACAACAACGTAACTGATATGTATTTATATATATAGTATTGATATGAGTATATATTTTTTAAATAATTTAGTTGTTTAAAAATTAGCATAATATTTTTTATTCTTGACTTTTTTTGTAGATTAAAATCATTCTAAAAAAGAATAATTTGTAAATAAAGACTTTGGAGTAAATGTTCAATCTAAGGATTTATAGAGAAATGTTTCGTTAAAAATATATAAAAATATGAAAAATATGAACAATAAATAAACTACTTACATGTTTTTTTTTATTGATATCTTTTTATTTTATTAATTATACTATTCTGATTAGTTTATATCGCCATCAGGCGTACAAACTACAAAGCAATGAAGACATTTGTAAAGATACAAAAGTTGAGAACCATTTAAAAATTGTTTCGTCAATCTATTTAATTATCAAATAATAGCCAAATCAAAGAAAAAAAACTAGATGCCTCAATAGTAAAGTTATTTATTAAAAGAATTCTCTATTATAAATGTTTAATTAATTTTTATTTATTAATATTTATATACTATATTTTATTAGTATTAGGTATATAATTAGTGATACAGTCTCTACCAAAGTGATAGATTTGAATCTAGTTAGTGATTAGTAGGTTTGTATCTAGTTTGTGATTTGTAGATGCTGTATCTAAAATCTTTTAAATTTGGTAATAAATTTGATTTCTTTAATTTTTAAAAAATTTAAACTTAAGATGAATTGAAGTATTTATGGGGTTACTTATCATTTGTATTTATTTGTTGTATTTACGAAATGGGTAGGGTTTCCGAAATATAAATAGCATTAAAGATTGCTAAAAAATTGTCAGACTTAATAAGTTACTATTTTGTAACTTATCAGTAGCTATTATATACAGGGTTGGGCTGTAAGATGTAGCCTACATTAATTTAATGTTTAATGTAGGGGAGAGTGGGGTGAGATGGGACACAATTTTTTCTTTGTGAGCTGTGCTTTATATTTTCCACAAAAACCATACTTAGGTTAAAATTATAGTCCACTGCATTGTCTTGGGAAATTATTGCAAAACCCATTACTAAACCATTGAATTAAGTTCAAGGCATTAGTTTTTAAGCGTGACACTGTTTGTCCTATGTCACCCCGTGTCAAGGTGAAATGAAACAACGGTTGGGGGAAATGGGACAAGTTAGAAACAAATAATTTTTATATTAATTAGTTAAACAAAAAATTTAATTTTTATTCTACTCCTTAAATAACATACCAATACACAAAATATATTTATGTTTAAGCAAAATAAGATATCATTCTAAAAGGTCGCTTGATGTTTGAATTCAGTCAAAGTTACGTTGATGTCTCAGGAATTAACTTTTTTGCTTTTTTTATTTTTATCTTCCTTTTTTCTTTTACATCTTGATAAACTTTCAACTCCATTGTAACTAGGATTCTCTTTTCAGCAGAAGTTACCTTGTTAACAGTCGTAAGAGCAGTTTCATTAATATTGTAAACACAATAAGCAGAAAACTTATAGTGTTTCAACACATTGTCAAGGTTTTGAAGAAAGTATTCACATTTGTGCGATTAAAATCAATGCAATGCAAGATTAAAATCAATGCAATGTATCAATGCAAGGTTCTCATCATGAACAGACGTGTTTTTTGCAGTTTAAAAAAAAAAAATTAAGGGAAAAAAATATTTAACTTTTTAGTATATTTTTTTATACTTAAAAAATATCATTAAATTAAACATGGCAAGCAAAAAAGACATTGAAAGTATGTTGGAAGAAAAATTCAAAGTACAAGAAAATTTAATTCTAAAGATTATTTCTAGAAATGCAACAATTCAAAATAAAAAAATGGATAAAATCTTAAAATTGATCGAGTCAATTACTAAACGTTTGTTATTAGTAGAAGAAAAACAAAAAACTTTACAACAAACTGTTGAAGACCTACGGAAAAGTATTGAGTTCACCTCAGATACTTTGATTGATGAAAAAATTGCATCTCTTAATAACGATTTAAAAAAAGTAATTATGGGCGAAATCACAAACGTTTCAAATAAAACCGTTTATGTACAAGAAAATTTGGACGAAGCAAAAAACTTATCTCACGAGCTAAAAGAAAAGATGAGAAAGTTTGAAGACAGAAATAGCAGATATAACGTAAGAAATTACGGATTACGAGAAAATGAACAAGAAACTTGAGAAAATACTGAACAAAAACTTCAAACAATTTTTAATGAACAGCTTCAGTTAAAAAATATAGTAATAGAAAGAGCACACAGAATTGGAAAAGTTTATAATAATATGGATACACAAGAACTGTTATAGTTAAGCTGTTAAACTATAAAGATAAAGGACTAATTTGAAAAATGCAAAGAAGCTGAAGGGAAAAGGGATTTTTATAAACGAGGACTTTTCGGAAGAAATAAATAAAATACGACGTGATCTTATTGAGAAAATGAAGATTGCAAGAAATTCCGGAAAATATGCAATTTTAGCATATGATAAACTGATTGTGAAGGAGTTAAATCGGAATACTAAAGACTTCTTTTCTTTATATTTAGTTTTTTATTATTATTAATTTTTAAATGGAGGGCAATTTGCGATTAAAATATTTTCCTGAAAATTTAAGTCTGAGTGATAAAGATACACATACAAAATAATTTGATCAAATAACATACAAAGTCTTATTTTTAATTTTAAATATTAATATCCGAAGTCTTAACAAAAACTTTGAAAATTTTGTTATTTGACGAAATAAAACATGATTTCGGCATTATTTGTTTTACAGAGACTTGATGTAAAAGTGAAAAAAATCCACAATTCGAATTGAAAAATAATACATCTGTTCATCAACCGCGTAAAATTCATGCTGAAGGAGGCGTAAGTGCACAGTGAACCACAGTGACCGCCAGGTTTGAAATCTCCCCACATCAGATTTATATATATATATATATATATATATATATATATATATATATATATATATATATATATATATATATATATATATATATATATATATATATATATATATATATATATATATATATATATATATATATATATATATACTTAGTTGTATATATGAAAATAAATATTTAGTTAGTAAAAACCTCTAGTGGAATAGAAAAATGTATGAAAGTCAAAAAATAAAAAGTATAGTTTTTAGTTGAAAATATCCACCATTTTCAATAAAATTGCTCTAATTTGCTTATCAAATACCGGCGTTTTTTTACTCTGGTGCACAACGGCTTGAGTACACTAAATGGCAGTCAACAATTTATGTGCTGTTTGTTTTAAAACCTTTGGTAAAAAGTCATCAAAGCTTCATAAAATAATTAAAGCTATTGAAGAAAAAATAAAAACTTTTATTTGGGATAGTTATGATCAAAATTAACAAACCATCCTGAAGTTATTTGTGGCAATTGTTATAAAAACCTTTATTGTTTGGATAAAAATGATACAAAATACCTTGATAAGTGTAGGGTTCCCATATCTCTGGATTTGCCCGGAGATCTCCGGATTTTAAGGCAAAAAAAAAGCTCCGGAGGCTTTCAGAAAAAAACATGAAATCTCCTCTTTTTGGAGGTTTTTGATTAATTTTTATAAAAGTTTCATATTTAATACATAAATTTTAAGTATATAAAGAACTGAAAAAACTGTTAAATGTAAAATGTTCTTAGTCATTCTACCAATTTATTGAAAATGTTGAAGACCTATTTTTTTAATATTGTCTAAAGACTCTTTACACAATATTGAAAAAATGCGCGCATTCATACTTGCGATAACGAAAGTCGCGACCGTTTAATAACATTAAGGTGTA